ATAATAATATTTTATGCATTATTGATTGATTGCACCACATCGTAATGTTCCAAAGATGAGGTAGAAATAAACTAAATTACAACTAATTTTTACAATTACAGTGTCCAGTGTAAAATTAACTCAAGTAGTACATCCAGTTATACTAGCAGCAATGTTCATACTAGCTTTGCTGAGAAATTTATATTACTACCTGTGGCTTTATCAAATGAGCATTTTTTCTTATCCGTATGAATTAATACAAAGCAATGAGAGCATACCTTTTCTCTTAGTCCAAGAAAGATTCTAAGCTCTTCTTGAACTCCCTTGAAGGTAAGCGAAAATATACACCAGAAAACTGTAATCAGATTTTGCTATATTTTGCCATTACTGAAACGTAACTTGACAATGAGCAAACATTAAACCTTAAGCTGCCTATCATCATGAAGGGTGACGGTTGATAGGATACAATTATTGTTGTCAAACCGACGATATATCATCGAAAATCATTAAATTATGCTAAAAATCACTGCTTCTAAAGAGCATTCAATGAAGATATTGATGAAATGCATGTACATTTCTAAACCGTCTTAAACACAAATTAAACCCCAATATCAATTAAGCATAATCATTCTCGATATTCTAGTGATTCGTTGCAACAAAGCATGGGAAAAGTGAATATGTAAGAAAGTTAAACAGTTATGAAGTTCATACTGCTATTGCTAAGGAAAACCTGCCTCCCTGTGGATTAGTTAAAAATTATAAAAAAATCCATAATTAAGACTTATGATGAAATAATAAAACATGAGACCATACATCCATCTACTCCTTGACTCCTCCTTCCCCTTGACGAAGCACAGCTTCTTTTACTTTCTTGCAAGAATTCTCCATTTTCTAAAATATAAATGATAATTTACACCACAAAACTTTAGAGAAGTTTATATACTCATTCCTTTTATTGACACGTAACTTAATGTAATGTAAAACATTTTGGCTGCCTATCATGGGGAAGAAGATGAAACTGGGAAAATGTACATACTGTTCAATAATATCACCAAAAAGGTGCATAGGCATAGAGACATAATTTGAAATCTGTGCAGATGTAGGGGCTTAACATCTTTACACAGTTTTAGTAGCTTATTATTAAATGCGCTCATAGATGAAGGAGAGCATTTGCGAACATGGATGTTTGTAAAAAAGAAACTGAATTGCGAATACACACTTTTTTAAAAGAATAAAGTCTATGACAATATTGAAACTCATAAAGTCTGTAAGAATATTGAGGCTCGAAATTGCTAAAATTTAAAAATAATTTAAGAATAATGCCTTCATCAAGACTGAAAACTTTCCTTTATCTGGATCTGGATAGGATCGTATTTGTAAAATTACAATTTGCATTTTAATATCACATTTGTTGTTCTGTTTGTTTTTCCTCAATTCAAAATGAAGCAACACATCAGAAAGATTTAATGATTTTCTTTGATCTTAAGGCGAATTAAGACCTTGTGTCGAGCAAGAATAACTTAAGAATAATCTTAGGCTCAAAATCGAAAATTTTTAAGAATATTAAGGCTCGGCAGAAAATTAGGTATTCTTATATAAAAGTGTATACATTTTTAGCAGAGCTTTAACGAGAGAGGAAATAGCGGCTGTACGAGAGTAAAGGGGGGTGGGGGGAGAGAGGTGTCACTAAGTATGAAAATACAGTAGGGATATATTGTCATAAATACCTTATCTCATTCAATCTTTTTCTGTCCCCATTCACCATAATGAATGGGAATTTTCTTTTGATGTTAAACTCTTTTGCAATTTGGCACTTCATTGCCCCAAATCTCTTTTGGTATGGCAGCATCTAGAGAATATCCAATAAATATATTAAAATTTACAGTGCTAATCAGTCTAAATCACAAGCTTCACCCTCAAGAGCAATTTAGAATAATCATTTTGATGCATTTTTCATATTATATTTGCTGAAAAATATTTACTACCTGTGGCAATAAGAAAATGAACAAAGGTTTCTTACTCTTGTTAGATAATGCAAAGTCACGAGATCATACCTTCTTCCTGCCCCTGACGACAACTTCCACCTGCTGCTTTGTCTTTTTTTGTCTTTTTTGACTTCCTAAAAGATATTTCAAAATTTGTAATGCAAACAGTCAACCTTTAGTTGCCAATCATCATTAAGGGTGACGGTTGATAGAGTACAAATATTGTTGTCAAACTGACGAGATATCATCAAAAATCATAAAATTATGCTAAAAATCACTGCTTCTAAAATTTCATGTGAAATAATTCTAAATGAAGCATTCAATGAAGATATAAACCGTTTTGAACACAGATCAAACCCTAAGATCAAGTCAGCATGATCATTTTCGATTTTCTAATAATTGGTTGGAACGAAGCGTGGATAAAATTAAACCACAACAAATGCAAATAGTTATGAAGATCATACTAGCATTGCTAAGGAGAACATGCCTCTCTGTGGATTAATTAAAAAACACAAATTTTCATAGTCAAGGATATAATAAAACATGAAATCATACATCCATCTCCTCCACAACTCTTCCGATGCTTTCTTCTGTATCCACTTTCTTAAAGATAATGACAATTTACACCACCAAACTTTAGAGAAGTTTATATACTCATTCCTTTTATTGACACGTAACTTAATGTAATGTAAAACATTTTGGCTGCCTATCATGGGGAAGAAGATGAAACAAGGAAAATTTACATATATCAGAAAGATATAAGTTCAGTAGATATCAGAAAGTTTTACATGATGCCAAAAATCAATATTTTATTTAGTAGCCATTTCTACTTTTAGGTGCCTAATCGACGATGAGGTAGAATAAACGGGAGGGGACGGATTTTATGTTCAAAATTAATTGCCGAGGGGGGTTTCAATTACCATAGGGGTCTAAATTATGAAGTTACATTCACTGAACAATCAGTTCACTATTATATAGCTATTATTTATCATCAACAATATTTAGCCTGTGTTTTACGCATATTTCACTACAATAATTAACACAAAGTGCCAAAATCAATTGGACAAAATTTCAATAATTAATTAGCGGATGGGGGGACGGGAATTAGGCACCTAATAGTAGGCAGTTATACTCTTCTCTTTCATAAGAATAATTTTCTAAGAGCACGAGCCTTAACCCTATACAGACTAGGCTTTTTGAAACTTTCGGGAGACTAGGGGGACTAGAGATCTGATGTATGATTTCGGGAGACTAACCTCCATAATTTCTTTGTCCCTCTAGCTAGGACAATGAACTTTGTTTGGATGGTACTCTTATCTATTCTCCACAATTTAGTACTATTGTTAAATTTTTAAGTCACATGGTTTACCGATGACGTCATCATAATGGTGGCCGGGTGGAGCAAAAATTTAGAAAATTTTAGAAAATCATTAACTTCAAAGCATTGGGCTTAGATTTTGAAATAAGCAAATTTGATGCATTTTCTAATAGAAACAAGAAGAATGACACAATTTTAATGTTATTTCTTAAAATTATTAACGTTCCAACACAAGAACTCAACAACATATTTTGTATTTGGCTATAGTTCTTTCTATAGACGGCTTGCCGGTTGACGTCATAAGGAAATGTAAACAAGCTGCGCGTGCATCCGTGTAGTCAGAAAAACATCAATTGAATTGAACGCGCTGTGAAAACAGGTAATGCACAGCTGATCATGTTTCGGGCACACTTATTCTGAGTTTGCAAACGTGTTAATTACAAGTGAACACCGTTTAAGTTAAACATGGTGACAGGTATTCAAAAGAACACGCAGTAAAACACGCTGTGGAACCAAAATCCTCACAGCTGATGTTGTTTTGAACCCGCCAATGCTAGGCCTATATAAAGAACTGTGTTTTCATGTTAGCTTCAGTCTGGTGCCAAATTGATCGAAACATGGATTCTGTTTATTTAATGAGCCTCGAGCCAGAGGACAGAAATCACTATAAATCAAAGTTACGGCTTGAAACTGGCGAACAGCTCCCGGATCCTTTCGTACTGACTAGCGGCTGGAGCAACGACATCACATTATTACCAGATTTGTCTTGGAGAGAGGTGACTGAGTACCTTATCGACACTCCGAGCAAATTTACAAAAGAGGCACTAAAAGCGTACAAGTCTCTAGAAGCAAACGACTACTTCATATGCAATCATGTGCATGACTGCTATTACCATGAAGTTTCAAAAGACAGCGAGTTTTGTTTTATCAAATCGGAGGTAAGTTGAATCTGTATGATATTTTTTTGTATGAACAGGGTCGGGAATAGCCAGCCCCTTAGTACTTTGATAATATGAAGACAACATGGAAAATTATGCCTTTTAACCTCAATCTGATTGTCCTAGATGCATGTTTCTATAGGAAAAGTATACAAAATTATTTCTCAAACAGAACAAGATATCATTAACGTGACATTATCACTTGTATTTTAATAATTGAGAGAAAATACTTTTTAAAATATTTGAAAGCTTCAAGCATAATTCTCAATTGACTAAAACTTTGCTTTCTCATTTAGGTACTGCCAAGCCAACGCCAAGGAGAGAAAACCACTTTGTATAAAGTATGGGTGTGTTTGAACAAGAAATTTGGGTGGGTCCTTACTGGAAACTGCACCTGTATGGCTGGCTTAGGGTAGCCATTTGGCTGCGCTCTTGTTCAAACTCGAGGCTGCAGTACACTACAACCTCAATGAGAAAACTGCATCTACAAGTCAGTTATGCTCTTGGAATGCAGCCAGAAAACATGTAACACCTGCCCCTGCATCTGCCATTGATTTTTCAAGGCCAAAGAAAAGAACATTGCCAAAATCTCATGAAAAAATAAGGAGCAGTACAAATTTCAGTTGTGAAGATCCAACGATTGGAGAAGGGGCCATCCCTATTGAAAAATTTTCAGAACTATACAACATTTTTCCCAAGGCTGCTGTTTTTACAAGTTTGCCCATACATGAGTTTACAAATGTTGAAGAAAACAAAAGGGAGAACACAGCTGCTCAAGAAATGGATGGAAGTGACACTGATTCTGATATTGAGAGTGACCCAAGTATTATCCCTGAGCCTTTGACTTCTCTTTTTGATCCTACTGCTGTCAACATGGATGATTTTACTTTGGATGAGCATGCCAGGAAACAATTTAATTTATATCGGGAAAATAACTTTAAAAGGGCTTTTGATAACCTTAGAAAATTGACAGAGAAGCAATCGTTAAATCCAGCTTGGATGATGCACAGAGCAGAAAGGATCACAGCATCAATCTGCTCCAAAGTTTCTCGTATGAAAGACAGTAAATCTTTGATTTCGAATATAATGCAATACAATGATGGTTTTACATCAAAATTCACAGATTTCGGAAAGACCATGGAACCCTTGGCAAGAAGCAGCTTTATCAAAACTGAGGAGGACAACCACGCCAATTTTAGTGTTATTTTATCAGGTCTAATTGTTAATGCTGAAGAACCATATCTTGGAGCTTCTCCAGATGGTATTGTTACATGCAGCTGCCATGGAAAAGGAGTGCTCGAAATAAAATGTCCCTTTAATTACAAAGATGGTTTTGATGGTTGGCAGCACGATAATAACTTTCCACTTGCAAGCCTTGGTCCTGGCTTTATCATGAAAAAGAACCACCCTTACTACTACCAAATTCAGCTACAAATGGAACTATCTGGAGCAGAGTTTGGATATTTTTACATTTTTGCTGGCAATAAAAAGGAAGGGATGATTTGCCCTGTAGGTAAAAACAATTTCTTCATAACTAAATTAAAGGAGACTCTTACAAGCAAATTTTTTACATCTATCCTTCCTGAAATTGTGTCTAGGAAGACAGAGCTTGGAACACCAACAAATCGTTCCTTATATTGTACATGTAGGAGACCAAAGTTTGGAAAAATGATCTTATGTGAAAACAAAGATTGTAAAATTAGATGGTACCATTATCCTTGTTTAGAAATGAAAAGGCGTCCAAATGAAAGTTGGTACTGTAGAGATTGTAAATTTTAGCCATTAAATTTCTAGTGTTCATTAAACAGTACATGTAAATAAAATCAAAACATGTTCTATTTGTTAACAACATTTTGTTTTAAATTTACAATACCGGACACAACAACCATTATTTTATCAATTAAATCAACATGACTTATAGGTAAAGTGTGTTGTAAAATTTTGAATTTTTTCAATTGCCCAATGACCCTCTCCACATGAATTCTGACGTTTGATAGTTGCCTGGATTCATCTACATCCTTTGCTGACAACTGTGTCTTCCCACGTGTAAATTTTGGGATCTTCAGATATGCTCCATGTTTTGCCAATTCATCTTCAATTAGAAACCCTCTATCTGCTAGAACACAATCGCCAGGGTGTAGCTTCTTTAGGAAACCTGAATCAATGGTAATCTGCTTGTCAGAAACTCTGCCCCCCAGCCTACAGATAAAAATGTGACTGCACCTGCAGGACTGATTCCAATGAGATATTTAATTGTATTATTATGCTTATAATTTGACCAAGTCTGAGCCCTTGCTGTCAGATTCTTTGGTCTTTCAATAAATATCTCACTGCAATCAATAATGCAGATACAGTCTCTATATTTTCTCCTGAAGGACTGGGGAAGATTTTCCTTGATTTCTATTTTGCTAGGCCACACAATTAAGTTCTTGAGGGATGAAGAGAGTCCTGGAAGCCAGGTTCGAAAAATTTTTGAGATCATTACACATGTATTTACGCTGGTCACGGGGAAAACACATATAATGACTAGTAAATCAGAAAACTTGAAAACGAACCTGAAATGAAATGCTCCCCGCAAATGAAAGCATTTGATATTTTCTACTCGCTCCACGATTTCCAATCGGCCCGCCTTATCGCTGTCATCCAATCTTGCCTTCGATGTTTCTCAATTGGTGTCGATCCTTTAGGCATCTTATAAAAAGGGACATCTTTCTTTTCTCCAATTTTTCTGTTCATACAACCGACCGCACAACAAGTTCGCGGCATTTTGCTAAACGCGAGAGATAATTTTCGATGCAACAAGAAGTAAATCAAACCCGATTGTAAACATAAACAAGGTTCTTGACTACAAGGATGCGCGCGCATCAAAAGAGGCCACGGAAATAGTAAACAATGGGAAACCGTCTATATAACTAAATGATCGATACAACCAAATGTCATTTTTGGTTCATTTTCGATGCTTTAGCAGACAAATTAATCCAAACTTGCAGTTTTATTAATGTAATGCCTATAAATATGTCAAATAAATGTGTGCGCATGCGGAGTAGAAAAATCATAGAAAAGGATGTTCAATTTATATTTTCTGGTCAGAATCATGAAAAGAGCACAAATTAATGCCTAGATGCTAATTTTCATCAATATATCTACTTTTTTTGCGAATCCATGGCAGATTGAACTTTTTTTTACTTGACTAGTTTTGAAAACGCCCCTACAAAATCCCCTGATTAACAAAAATGAAATTATCTTTTTATATGAACTTGTGTCAGACAGATTAAAACTAAAAGTCAGGAGGTCTGAGGGGTATTGCTTTGAAACTCCTGACGTTATGAACGAAAAACCAACTAGGGGGGCACTTTGTGCCTCCCCCTAGTCTGGATAGGGTTAAAACCAGTAAAAAGTTAGAAACCAATTAAAAGAAATGTGAAGAGGCTTAACCAACCCCTTTCATCTCTAAAATGATAGATTTTGCGGTTCAGGGTTACGTTTAATTTCCAAATATGTTTGCAAACATTCAGGATTGCAAAACAAATCCTGAATTATGTAAACAATTACTTGATGTTTTCAATAAATGGGGGGGGGGGGTCTGCAAAAAAGTAGATATAATGGTGTTTCGCATCAAGATTCACAACACAATGTGTCACATCATTGTCTGTTCTGTCTCCCATTTTTCGGTGCAACTTGTAAAATTTCCTATTTGCTGATGCACCATCACTCAAAACAGCTAACACCCACAGATTCAAGCCTTCTCCAAGTAAAAAACAGAGTTCCAAAAGATTGGCAAGAGCTGGAATGATGTTACTGATGTTGTTGCAAAATTAGGAAATGGGTATTTAAGATCTGTATAGACCCCTCTCAAGTAGATTACCAGCATACAGTAGAAACCTGCATAAAAGAACCTAGGTTTTTTTCTGGCAGCCTGAATAGGTTCTTAATTAACAGGCTGCTATTCTAAATTCCAGTCTGAAAGGTTCCTAACAAGGCTCTTATATACGTACAGGCCTTGCACACATCAACAATGTTTTCCACCGCAAGTATTCTAATGGACACACTTAAACAAGCTTTTTTATGTTGAACTTCAACCAATCAAATGAATTTGTGTTGTTAGATTGTCCAATTAGAATGCAACATACCATAACCTGATTTACTCTAGAAACCTCTTTTTCTTACATATATATATATCTATATAGATGCTTAATAAAAAAACAACTTGGTTGACGTTTCGCTATAAGCTTCTTCAGAATAGCTAACACATACATCTGGAGCGTAAAATAAGGAATACAAAACAAAAGAACAAAGGGTAAAACATTTTACAAGCAAGAACAATAATAGCTAATTTAACAACATAATGATAGTTTCTTAGCCCAGCCGGACATGAGAAAAGATGGCTAAATACAATAGATAAAGGAACAATAGAACAAGTGTGATAGCAGATGGTATAGCATGCAGAAAAGTCCAAGAAAAAGAAACGGTAAATGCTGTCTGTCCAAAAAAATTAAGAAACTAGGTAAATAAATATAATAAATGTAGAATGCAAAGAAAAGAAAGAAAGTAGATAGAAAACGTGGAAATAATAAGCAGAGGTAAGAAGGAGAAAATAGAAAAAAGAAAGGAAATAAAATTGTGTCAGCTAACCTAATATTAATGCCCCGGGGCGTGAAAGTTTCTAACTTATACTGCCAGAAACTTTCACGTATCTATAATAGTTATTTTAATATCTTCAAGAAACCCATGATGATCCTTCCCTGCAAAATGCTGGAAAAAATCAGCCTGAGGTATACCCGAAGAGCCCCTGATAAACTTACGATTGCACGCCTTGTAGTTATTAAACCTAAGCCTAAACGGCGTGCAAATGCTACCCACATACTGTACACCACATACTTTACATTTTAACAGATACACAACATTGGAAGAATCACAATTAAACGAAAACGGATGAAGAAAACAACATCGATGAATCTCATCCAGACAGTGGGTGTGTCCACTGATTCCTTCAACAGTCTTTCTTCCAACCCAGTCATAAAGAGGTTTGCATATGCTGAAGAGTGGCTAACTTTTGTCTATGAAACCTATCACTAAATTCAAAGTAGTTGCTGTCGAGAACCAGAGATGCCAATTCCACTAAGGTATCAGTAGCCACGTTTGGGTTTTCCATTCTATCCAGCGCTTCCCTGATGGCTTCCAAACCGTCTCCATGTGGAATGCTATAGGATAGAGTCCCACAACATCAACCGTGCACAGTATAGCCCCTTCTGGTATCCTACCTATTTCACCTAACTTAGATAAGAAATGATTAGTGTCCTTAATGTAAGATCTACCGAGGCTAACCAGTGGATTGAGGTGGTGATCTAGATATTCTGACATATTTTCTGTAACGGTGGTGCCAGAATTGGAAATGACTGGTCGACCCTTAACCCCACTTAATCCCTTATTAATCTTAGGTAACAAATAGAACCTACCTAGTTTCCCCTCGTTAACCTTTAGAAAATCAGTCACTTTCTCTAACCCGCGATCCTCCAGCCTTAACTCATTAATCCTATTATTAACTGCCTTACCCAATTCTATCGTAGGGTCCACCTCAATCTCCCCGTAAACTTGCCTATCACCTAATTGCCGGTTAGCTTCTTATATGTAATCCCCCCTGTCCCAAACTACAACAGCTGAACCCTTGTCCGCTTCCTTAATAAGTATATTCCTATCACACTTGAGATAATTCAAATCAGAAAGATCAGAAAAGGAAAGGTTACTGTGATACTTACCTTCCGTGGTGACTGACAGCACTTCCTTTTCAAGTTGAGAAAGATAGGATTCTAGCAAAGGATCAGAAGTAGCAGGATTCCAGCTGGACTTATATTAAAATTTAGAAAAATGATTGCTCAAAGAATTTGAATCTGCGTCCCTGAAAAACCATCGTAGTCGCATTCTCCTCTTAAAATATCCAAGTCTTTCTTTACCTATTCTAAGCAAACTGTATATATATATATATTCAATAGCTCCTATCTTAATATACATACAACTTAATATATATATTCAATAGCTTAAAATATTAAATAGATGTTCCATAAAAAACAACTTGGTTGATGTTTCGCTCTTAGCTTCTTCAGAATAACTAACACATACATCTGAAATAAAGAATACGGAACAAAAGAACAAAAGGTAAAACATTTTACAAGCAAGAACAATAATAGCTAATTTAACAACATAATGATAGTTTCTAAGCCCAGCCTATGTAAACAAGAGGTAAACAATATTTTTTGTTTCGTTACCCCTTGGCAACATAACCTTAATGCCTGTAAATGATTTGGCTCTAGACATCGCAACATAGAGTTGGCCATGTGTGAGAACAGGTTCTGGAAGGTAAATGCCAACATACCTTAACAACTGTCTCTGTGCTTTGTTGATGGTAAGGCAGTATGCCAACCTCACAGGAAATTGCAGTCTGGCAATGTCAATGGGTAGGGCAGTATCTTTAGAGGACATTGTGATTTGTAGAATCATGACATAGCGTCCTCTGTGCTGAGTGGCAATGACCTTCGCCCAAATCAGGTGGCATTGCAAATCCCGGAGGGTTAGTCGGGTTCCGTTGCAGAGACCTTTCTTTGGGTTGAGGTTCCGCAGGAGAATGATTGTTGCACCAACCTTGATGTGTGGAAAGAAAAGAATATATTCGTGAGGGTTGTGTGAAGTAATCATTGTTGTCATTGTTGTAAATAATCTGGATATTGGACAAGAAAGAACATGTATTAAAAAATCGTGTTTGTTTTATCTTTGTTCATGTTGCGAAATTAGTTTTGGAAAATAGAGAAAGGGTTTCTTCTTATCAAAGTGGAACACATTTCAGTTGTTAAAGGGAGATAATATTACCTTTAGCTCCAGTTTGTGGAGTGGCATACCAGTTGGTGTCTGTGCATTCAAAAACTCAACAGGATATGCTTCAGGCTCTTCAGGGTCATCATTGATCACCCTGTCAGTACTCAGGTATGTCTAAGTGGGTGCCTGCAGTCTATCCAAAATGAGTTGGTTTATTTCATGAGAGGAGTCATTGGTCGGTGTTAGGTAGCAGCGTTCTGCCATTGCTTCAGGATCGGCCATTATGTCTGGCTCTCCAGGTGGTGGTGGTGGATAAAGAAAGTCAACAATATCGTTGAGTGACTGCACCAACATGTGGTAAGGCAACGTGATTTGACGTTCTTGATCGTGTGGCTCTTGTCCATTCACAATTCTTAAGAGCCAATCTGAAAACTCATTCGTTCTCCACCTGCACAATTCGTTCTCCACCTGCATTAAGAACAACTGGGAGAACCTGTCTAAAATCACCACCAAGAAACATGAATTCACCTCCGAATGGTTGATCAATTCGGGTAATGTTCCTAAAGAGGATATCTACTACCTTTAAAGCCTTGGCTGGGATCATTGAGGCCTCGTCCCAGATAAATACAGTGGTTTGCAAAAGCCTTTCAGCCTTAACACTTTGACACTCTATGTTACAGGTAGAATCAGATAACAGCGGGATAGGAATCTGGAATTTAGAATGTGCTGTGCTTCCATTGATGAGCAACGTACTCGCAATGCCTGAATAAGCAAGACATTTAACAGTAATTCCTAATCCAACTGTACAGGAAAGTTTTACCTTTTCCTGCTGGACCGTCAACAATGAAGCAGTTGTTTTCTGAATGAGTTTGGATAGCTTCCATGCAGTGTCGTAAATGCAGTTTTCTTCACCTTGCTCTGGATTCCAGAAGTTGTCTGGGAGCTGTGGCAACTCAGAAAATTCCGGATCTGCGATGGATTTTCGGTGGACTTACAGGCTGTCAATGTCCCAAAGGCACAGGTACATGTGTCTGTCCTCAAAGCCAATTGTTGGGTCATTGTGAAGCTACGAATGTAATCTCCAGACAGAGTCTGAAAGATGATGAGCGTTGCAAAGAGCTGTGTCATCTGTGATGGCATGTTAATGATCACAGCTTCTTCTAGGCACCGTATCAGCTCAGCATCATCGTCTTATATGCCCATGGCTTTTGCTGCATCCTTGAATGTGTGATGCAGTTCACCATAAACTGTTCTCAGGTCTTCAAACGATGTTGCACCTCTTCGATGGAGGAGAAGCAGTCTCAAGGCATATCTCTGTGGGTCAGTTCCCTGCACTTGGTATATTCTTCCCACAATACTAGACGCAGGACGTACCTATAAACAAAAAGAATTTAAGGGTTTAACTTAAGAATTTAAGAGTGTCTGTTTTTTTGTTAACTATGATATCAATATTAATAGATCGGTAATAATCAAAAAGGGGAAAAATTGTTATAAAAATAGAATAAATACCTTTTGCTTTCATGTTTTTGTTCCTTTGTCCAACGTATAGTGTTCAGGAATTTGATGGTAGAGGTACTGGTGTGCGTCTTGATCATGGTCATTCAACTCAAACCAAGCAGTGAGCGTAGTGTTAAGATTTCTGTGTGAAATCTGCTGTTCCCGTCCCTCTTAGAAGAAAACATTCTGCTGCAGAGGAAGATGTACTGCAAGGCGAATGATTGTGTGTGTCATGAAATTTATACTGCATGATTCTGAACACTGCCTGGTGCAGTCTAACATATCTTCTATTGAGATATTGGAGGATTTCATCGTGGTGGACAGTGTTCTCTCTGATCTCGACTTGTGCACAGTCGCCTCCTTTGTGGGTGTATTTAAAGATGTACTTGACACTTTTGACGCTTGTACACACTTCCACATTGATGTGGCAATTGAATTTCAATAGCAGTTGTGGGTTGTGAGATACAACCCAGGAGTCATTCGCGAGGTGGTGACGCAACTGGGCTGCATGCTGACCACGTCGTTGGTACTGTGGATAGCCACCAACATTGAAGTCAAATACTCTACTCACTGAAAAATGAAGTCAAAAGCAGATGAGCTCGATATTCAGCTTCGTAGAGGTAAATATATCAGCGATTATCTGCACAGAAACGAAAAAATCGGATGACAAATGTCCTGAAAAACCAAGCGACAAACTATGACACAGCAACTTTTACAAACTCGAATCTTGCCTTTAAACAGCAAAGTTTCGAGAAGCAAGGCTTAATGATTGATAATGACTACAACTAAAAAAAGGTTTCCCCAATAAGGATCTCTAACATAATGCAATCACTTGATCAAGGGGGCGTAACATCACCATCGTCAGCAAGCCAGGGAAAATGGCGTTCAACAGTTTAAATTTCGATTAATGCTTCATTCAAGGAAATAATTGATTAGAGAAAACGCTTGAAAATATGTCAGTAGGGGAGCGTGAATTTCACAAATGTCCAAGTTAACTCTAAACGTCAAGCAATAAAGGCTGGTTTCCATATAACCGTAACTGCCGTTAGACTGCCGCCGGCACCTAGCTTCCATCCACAGCTGCCATGTTTACGGTACCGCCGGCAGTGAAAAGTTTAATGGAAACACTTTCTATCTTAGTGATGAAAGTATTGATTAAAATACAAAATTTGACACCTTATTATTCAATCTCTACAATCTTATTGAGAAACACTGTCCGGAAAAAAGTATTTCCACCAAAAAGATGTCAGAAAGTAATACTAGTGACCATGAAAGTATTTCGACAGCAGGTATTTCTTCGGAAACCTCGGATGAAGAGAATTACGGGGTTGTTCTTCTGGGGGCTGCTGCTCCTTATCATGACAAAGATGGTATTTCTCGTGAAAAGTTGGCAGGTCATTTTGTTGAAGAATGGTAAGTTTTGGCTTTATATTTTCGTTTCCAATTTAATTTATGGCACATACGGGCAGTAGAGGGAGACTCTTCAATCTGTTTGGGTGGCGTCAGTTCTGTTGATTTGGTTTCGTTCGCGAGTTTTCTGGTGATGCAAAAGCGTTTTTCTTGGTTAACAACAACAAAATAGTCCTGTTTTATTACAACTGGTAGGTGCCGTTGTAGAGAATGTCATATCGACTTATTAACTGGTTCGTTGGAGTACTGATGTTGACCGGAAGTCCATGAGGCGATCGAGAAACTGGTGGGTGTTGCAGAAGACACCCGATGTATCACAGCGTTTGAGGGCTACAAGTCAATGACATGTAATGTGGTTCTGACAAATGGATAGATAGACAAATGGATAAATAGATAGATACATAGATTTAAAGTAAGGTTTTATTCAGTCAGTAGTCCCGGTTTTAGAGGGGCATAGCTAACGTCCCAATTGCGAGATCAAAGGGTTTAATAGTAAGGTTTTATTCAGTCAGTAGTCCCGGTTTAGAGGGGCATATCTACCAATCCAATTGTGAGATGTAAGGGTTTAATAGTAAGGTTTTATTCAATCAGGAGTCCCGAGTTTTAGAGGAGCATAGCTAACATTAGAATAAGGATATTTAACGGTTTGGAAGCAAGTGTTAGCTTTTTTTTATTTTGATTAATCCGTTTTCGTAGAGGTTTATTAATAATTATTTTTTGATTCATAGATGTGGAAAGCAAGCGTCCTTCGTCGTTTTACGAGGAAGAAAGTTGTCGAGCAAAAGAACAGTATACTGAAGTTATGTATTTGGCGATTTTCATCTTTATTATTATTGATTTATCGTTATGTTTTGTTTTGTCTTTGCCTTTTTTACGCCTGTTTAAATACTTTAATACATGTCAATTTTGAATGCTTTGTCATTATGTCTTGACAAAGTGTGTTTTGCTTGGACAAATTTTCTCATTATGACAGCGTTCTATTTCAGAATCATCTGCGGGAGTTGAGGCAGTTATAGAAGCCATGACATGTAAAAGCAAGGACGAAGCTAAGAAGGTAAATTATTTGCTCTTGAACGGTTTTCCGTCCTCTCAAATTGCACTTAACTTTGTTTGAGTTGCCCACTCAGCTTTTCCAGAGTTTTTACTTGAGATTTGTAAGCTTTAGATATAATTACTTGAAAAATTAGTTTTCATTGCAGCAGAAAGCATTAATTTTTATTTTATATTGCAGGCCTTTGAAGCATGGATAAATACAGAAGAGGATAAACATAAAGATGTAAAAACGAAGAAGTTACAAGTTGTTTGTCCAGTTAAAGGTAGTAACAAGAAAGTGGTTGACCTGATACGCCATTTGACGATATTGCATGGTTGGGATACAGCGGAAGCAAAGGTTGCTTGGGGAAAGTTTGGACTGAGGAAGCAAAGACTTTTGAAAAAAGGTCGTGTTCTAAAAAACTATACAAAGATGGTGTGTCCTGTCAGCTCCTGTCGGCAAGTTGTTAAGAGACTTCGTAACCATTTATCGCAAACCCACAAAATTAGAGACAAAATTAATCTGGAAAGTATTATGTCTGCTGCTGTAGTGTTCAAAGACACGGAGGTGGCTGGCTTGGAGGAAACTGCAGAACCTTCTAGTTTTCTTGGAAATAGAGAAAACAGAGAAAGGGTGGTAGAAATACCTTTGAGCCCTCAAGAAGGTGTCAGTGATGATGCCTCAAGTGTTATCAGTGAACACGATGAGCCAATGGATGATAAGGTAGAGTCTATGTCTGATAGAATAGTATTTAATAATTTGAAAAGATGGTTAATGTCAATAGATGGAGGGCTGAAAAAGAAAGAGATGCTGCACTTCATGTTGCCCAGCTGAAGAGAATCATTAATCATGTAGACTTGGATGATTCAAATGGGGACAATGTTCTTGTTCTCTTTGATGCAAACGAGCTCAACGAGAAATGGCTGGCTCTATTTCAGAATGAAAAGAAACCTGGAACTGTTAAAGCATATTTGCATTCGTTGCTCCATTTTTATGACTTTGTGATTGCGATTCCTGCAGCTTTTGAATTACCACAAGAAGAAATTAGAAAAAGTTAAAACGAGAGTTAACTACTGGTCCAAAGCAGTTGACAAAGATGTGTGCAAGAGGAAGTGGCAGAAGAAAGAGGAAGAGGTTAAGAGGCTAGCAACAACAGATGACTTCGTTGATTTGATAAATCGGAGCCAGTTTGCAGGGCAATAAAAATCTTATTCAATAGAGACGGTTGCTGAAAGAATCGGGGTAAAAGATTGGGTGTCTGGGGAAGAGGTTTGCTTTAAACTGGATGACAGGGTCTCGATTTCCTCATCAGGCAGATTGACGAATGAATCCTCATTATCAGTTTGCAGCGTAGTTTCTTGTTCAGAGAAACGTTCGAAACCATAGGATGTCACTTGCAAATTGCTGGTAGTGGGCCTATGTTTTAGAAATGGATCCAGAAATTGCAACTGGGCAAAGAATGGCCACGAAGGCTCCAAAGGAACCCCTCCTGCACTCCCTGACGGCTTGTACTCTTTCTTCATTTTCATGTACCGGTCTCTCAAGTTTTTGAAAACTCTTTTCAGCATTGCAATATCTGTATGGCAAATAAAAAATTCTTAGCTCAACTAACAGTAAAATTTTGTTAAAACGGATAAAATTATAGAGTTTTAGAGAGTTATGTTGACACCTTCAGAAACCTAATAGCAAGTTTAAAATACAACGATGGCTTTTATTGAAATAATTTTAGACTGACATGGTTAGCCGGACACACCAAGCCATGCAGATTTTTCAGGATGTTTGACAGAATGTTCAAGGTTTGGGGTAGAACTACAGTTATCATAAGCCGAAAGCGAGCATATCAAATGTTCGATCTACGTCGTTAAATTTGTTGTTTTATTTTTTTTAAGGTATTGCTAAAGATGAGAGTAATAAGCAGCGCGAAATGATTGATAAAAACTCGTGCACGAACCTTCATTCAGTAGTTTTTGGTCTTCTTTCACATGGTTCAACGCATCGATGCAAACTATTTTCCAGGCATTTTCCCTAATACTGTCGTCCTTGTAATCTTTCCGCGATGTATCATAAAGACAAGGATATTTTCTAACCGATTCAATCAATAACTCCTTGTTGACGTGTTTAGCAGCCATTTTGAACTAGTGATCTGAGCGTCACGAAGCGTTTTTGTTGGATTTTTTCAACTTTGCCGCATTGCAAAAAAACGCATTGGCACCAAGCTGTGCGTCAAAAAACGCACACCTTTTATGGTTCGCGGCATGTAAAACGCGACAAGTGTGAATGGACCTTAAGATATTTTACATGAAATTTTTACTTTTTATTTAAAATTCATCATCGGTTATTAAGCAGAGTTTATCAATCAAGTACTTTGAAAAAAGTGATGTGGATTGCAAATCTCACCATCCTCCTTTTCTGGCTCACTTTCCATATCAGCATCGATGTGCTCCCCAACACCACGGTTATCACCATCACTCTCTTCATCACTGCTGACCTCTGCTTGTTCCATTGGTAGATCTAATATAGGAAAGGAAATGTATAGGAGAGTCCATGGATTTATATAGGATTTGAATCAAAGAGAATTATTGCTTTTGTTGACAAGCTTTTTATACGGATAGGACAAAAGACATCCAGTCCACAATTGAAAACAGCTTTCCTGAATTCCTTTTGCCTCCTGAAGTCTACTTTTCACATATTTATACTTTGTATTGATATACTGGACCAAACAGATTTATTTGCATTAGCCAGTATAATGTGTGAGAAAAATATGCGTTGACAACCTTTACTTGTGAAAAGCATATTTCAGACAAGTGATAAAAAAGATTAAGTCTCTGATTAATCAACTGCAATGAGAAAGGATTGATGAGAATATCACGCAATTTTCATACGTGCAGAATGACTTGTTTGTCGATAAAATTCCTTTGCCTAATGAAACCTTCCTTTTGTACCAGAGGGTTTCAGATAGGCACACAAATCACACAGCGTTCTAGCTCGACCAATTCACTTCACAGCAAAGTTTCACTTTGGTCATTGTATGAAGTCATTAGGTGCTGCATCTTTTATGCCTAGTCAACCAACCAAGCTCTGAGCTGTTCAGATCAATGATCTGCGAAACTGTGGCAACATACTTGTGAAACTGAGTAACTGGAGCATCAAAAGCTAAGCTCCATCTTCTCTTAATGGCATAAGATTCTATGAAAATTTATGCTTTGCCTTCAACAGATAAGTGGCAGAATCTACCTTGAATATCATCCTGGAACTCAGCAATTCTCTTTACATTGACGACACTAGACTGCAGTTCTTTTGAACTATCATCTATGATCAAACGATTTGACATTATTCTTAATCAAAACTCATTGGACCATCAACTGTAATTTGCAAGAGTTTTTTTGCTTCTGTTCAAACTTGCTTCCATATATGCAAAGAGTGATAAATTCACAGTTTAATTGTACATAACATCTTCAAAACCTCTTGTTAAAACATTGCGTAGACTGCATGTCCGGGATATTCACGATGTACAATAGAAAGGGGTAATTAAAGGTGAAAAAAGTCATCGTGAAAGAATTTTTTGGCTATGGTTTTTTATTTTCGAGTAATTGCGCAATTACCGGCTCGTTCTTTGCCTAAAAATGGTCGGATCTTTTTCGTTTCCGAGAATTAATCCCCCTATTGTGACGTCAAAGATGATCACTGCATTTGCACGCGATCACCAAACGGTATTAAAGACGTGTCTTGAATTCATTCTGTCACTCGTATTTTGATTCCGTTTCGAACATTTAAAAGCTGAAAATGGTACACTGCAGTGCATACAACTGTTTGGCAGACAGTAGAAAAAGGAAAGGAGATGAAGACGCAGTAGCAGTCCCCGAAAGTGGAGCGTCAAGGGAAGCTGTTGGGATAAGGCCTAGGCAACGAAAGAGTTTCTTTAGGTTTCCATCCGATTCTGCCCTACGGAAAGTTTGGGTTGCCAAACTTAATTTGGTAAATTTTAAAGTAAAACCTCATTCAAGGCTGTGTCAAGACCATTTCGAAGAGAATCAATTTGAAATAGGCCCAAAAAGGATTTCGTCGCTGGGACTGACTGGGATCAAGCGGCTCTCCCTGAAAAGCGATGCAGTCCCAACAATATTCGACAAAGGTTCGCCAAAAGCGAGTGGACAAGTCAAAGGAACAAAAAGTTTAAAAGAAATCCTGTCAAGAGACTCGAATCACGTTTTAAGTCGCATCTGTCGTCTAATTCCCCAAGTCCAAAAAATCGCGTCCTAAGAAATATGGAGCATTTGTCAAGCGCCAGAGGGTCGAGGTAAGTTAAAATTTACCGCGTAATTTTCGATTAAAATTTCTTTACTAGTAGTTATATCTGTAATTTTTATATAAGCCATCCTTCTCCGCGGTGATTCAGTCTGGACTAGATTAACAAACGCACTGTGTTCGCACTGGAAAAAGTAGTTCTCAAAAAAGCACAATTTTGCTGGTTTTACAAACAACTGCTTTGATGTCTACTTTTATTAAGCCCCCTAAATCTTGATATCCCGAGGAGCAAGCAATAATGACTACCCCAGGGCCATCACACAAAGAATGACTAAAATAAAATCAACTACACATTGACTTAATCACGTTTTACAGAACTAAACACATATAAATTTGGTTTGACCTTGAAACTGAAGTCCCTTAAAAAGGTCATGAATCTTTCCCAGAGCCTTAACTACAAGATATTGTATGTATACTGTGAACCATAATAAAGATTTGATTTAAAGTGTAAAACCAGTCAGCCTTTCTTTTTAGATGATATCAGAAATTCTGGAAGAGGAAAAGAAGAAACCTTACGAATACACCCCCAGTGATTTTGTGGTTTCACCTTTGGTGTTGGTTGAGACAGAAGATGCTGTTACGGAACCAATACAAAACAAACAGGATAAGAACAAGACACCATTTGTTGACAAGTCAACTCAGCTGACAACCATTGCAGATGAAATGTGTGTTAGAAAAAGTTATGCAACACAAACACCTATCACATGGCATTTTCGTGGGACACAGACAAACCCCAGAATATGGTCACGTGGTAAGTATTCTGTATCCAGGACTTGGGGGCTTTACCTGATACATATCTGTAATGCCTTGATTAAACTTCTATATAACTTTTTTATGTCACTTCACAAGATGACCTTTTCATTATATTCTGGAAACCCCTGCCCCTTTGATCTTCCCTTTAGTTATTCCCATAGGCAGTTTATATATTGTATTAAAACGTTTTTTTAAATTTTTTAAGGCACTCAAACAGAAACACATGATACCACTCTGTCAATCATGGTTGATCAGCAAACACAGACAGATAACCATCAAACAAATCAGACGTCTATAACACCTGTTGATGAGATGGATGATGAATCTGATGAGGCACCAGCAGGGCAATCCACAATGGAAGATGAGGACTGGATAGGCACCACTGAAGAGTCTGATACTGAAGATTCAGAAAGTTCTGAATCTGAAGCTAATTTACAAGAACCAAAGACATACCTGGTTTTCGAATCTTGCATCATGTCACTTTTTGCAATTTGCAACATTTGTCTTGCCCCATGCACAAATATAAGAAAAACTCTTTGTGGGTCAATGTTGCGTATAGAGGCTGAATGCATTGAAGGGCACAAAAAGGTCTGGTATTCCCAGCCAATGCACAAGAAAATGCCATGGGGGAACTTACGAATAGCTGCTGCCTGTTTATTTTCTGGCAGCCAGCCTTCAAAAGTTATTTCTTTCCTCAAACATTTGAATATGGCAGGAATATCAAAAACAGTATACAATGCTATTCAGAGTGCATATCTCATACCATCTGTCTTTGCTGTTTGGGAAGAGTCTCAAAAGAAACTTTTTCAAAAATTACAAGGAAAGCAATTAGTTCTTGGTGGTGATGCACGTATGGATTCCCCAGGCTATTCTGCAAAATATGGGTCTTATTCCTTAATGGATCTGGAAAGTAATAAAATTATAGATACACAGCTGATTCAGGTATTAAAATTGCTATATATGCAGTCTACATTGTCTGTTAAAAAGTGATGTTGATTTTTGTGGTGATCTCTTAAAAGTCAGGGAAATAAAGTCCTACTAGTCTTGACTATACCAATTTCTTATTTGAGTACATGTTATGACAAAAGCCCAACAAACATTTTTTAACGGGAAGGTAAACATTTTTATTATCTTTTCCAGAGTAATGAGGTTGGAGGAGCAGGCTTCATGGAATTAGAAGGTCTTAAGCGGGCTCTGGGCAAGATAGAGGGAGAAAAGATTGAGTACAGAGCACTTGTAACAGATCGTCATGGCCCTGTTAGAAAGTATATGAGACTGCAGAAGAAGGACAAACAACACTACTTTGATGTTTTCCATGTTGCAAAATGTGAGAAAAATTTGAAAGTTTGTTTAACTTCAATCCTAGTAAACATGAGAAACTTAAACAATTTCTTCCTTCAGCTTTTGCATTTCTTAATGTGATTAAGAAGAGTTTCTGCCATATGGGATTTTTTACCAGATTTTTTCTTTCCATTCTCTTTAAAGCAATTGGGAAAAAAGTTGAAAAAATTGGCAAAAAGAAAGGCAATGGTGCAATACTTGATTGGGTAAAAAGCATTAAAAATCATGTTTATTGGTGTGCAGCATCATCTATGGGTAGCACCATTGAAATGAAAGAAAAATGGCTGTCACTTCTTAACCATGTTGTCAATGTTCATGAAGGTCATGGGAGTTCTTACAAGAAATGTCCTCATGGCAAACTTGTGCGCAACTGGTTAAAAAAGAGTAAGTCATTTATTAAAAATTTTGAGTAAATTTATTTATAAGCATTTTCATTTTCTGATGTTATAATTGAGTTTAGATATTACCTTCAAAATATTTATATGTTATGTTTACATATGTTAGCTATGCGTATCTAACACTTCAAGTCAAATGAAACTTGTATTAATTGTATCATTTTGCAATTTCTAGGTCAGAAAGGATACAAAGAATTGAAGCATGTCCTCACAACAAAACGACTTATAAATGATGTTGCTAAACTTTCGCCATTAGAGCAAACCAGTGCATTGGAATCCTTCCACAATGTCATCATACGCTTTGCCCCCAAAAACACTCATTTCTTCTACCCATGTATGAAAGCAAGGTAAAAATATACAAACTTTCTTATTGATAATGATGTAAATTATGGTGAACAACATTAAGTGCAAATTTTTAAGTTTCTCAAACATTCTGTTTAACATTAGATTGAAACTGAAATGCAAAGCAACACACAATATTTAATCCCTTCATTTTAATGGAAAAAGTATGGTAACTGGTTTTAAATTAATTCCTCCACAGGGGTAGTATTTCTGGTGCCTTTATGGTTTTATTTGGTTCTTTGATAAGTTTATCAGAAATATTCATTTTTTTAAATGAATTCTTCTTCCATGAATTGGAATGTTTTAAGATTTAGGTAACTTTGACACAAATCCTTACTTATTATGTAAAACTATCATTCAGGAAAGTTGAAAAAATTGATTTTTGTTGTCCTACAGGATTTTTTTAGCTGTTCTCCATTTTAATGAGAACTCAGAAAGAAGCCAGGCATTAAATAAGACCTCTGGAGAAAGGCAGTGGAGAGTTACTTTTCGAAAGTTCAAGGATGGAGAAGGTACTGTTCAGCAAGTTAAGGAAGGAGTTTCTTATGGTGAATATAATTTCTTTCAAACTCTTGTTCACTCTTGCTTACAACAATGTTACAAAAATTTATGAATATTTAAAGGATTTCTTTTGCACCACTATCAAATTTCAAAGGTAAATGCTATTTTCTGTTTACTGATTAAAATCAAAAGTCAATTACTGAATTTTCTTTTCAGAATACGTAACTGCATTGATAAAGAAGGCAGTTGAGTTGAGAAGAAAACAGCCAAACATGCTACATGCTGCAAAAGAAGCTTCTTCGTCTTGTGATACTCCAGCCTTTCTTTCGGATAAGCACAAAAAGATGTCAAAGGCAGAGGCAATTGAAAGGCATCACACAAGTTTTGCAAAATTATAAATGTGTATTTAATTTCTCTACACAGCAGCTAGAAGCAGTAAATTCTTTTCCGGGTTAAAATTTAAAATATAATCATTTTTGCATTTAAATCTTAGATGTCCAGTTTTGGGTATTTAAAGCCGGTATATTCATTTGAAGGAAATTTTTTCCTTATGGAGCAGACAACACAAGCAGGCAGTATTTCTCGTCTGTGCTTTCCAAGTCTGTGCCAAATCCATCTTACAAACTGTCGGTAGCTGATGTATCGAAACAATCTGGAATAGATAAATGAGAAAAAGGTTTTTTAACCACATGGCCAATTTGTGCTAGACAAAACACCTATGAATAGGACCTCCTGAAAAACACCTAGTGATTGATGTAGAAAGAAAATTCATCATATTTTTTCTCAAATTCATTCCAGATTTTCTAAACAACATGTTACCTTCCTACATAAAATGTGTACATAGAACAAAAAATTGTACAGTGACTAGATTATTCATATCAAGGGAATTTTTCTTTTCATATGTTAATTTGTAATGATGATAACTCCTGCAGGTAAATTGATGAAAGGGGTGCTCATATAAACAATTGCAAAGACGTCAGAATTGGGTGCACTAGGGATCAGGGACATGTGTCTCGAAATTTGAAAAAGTGCCCCTTCTCACAAGTGTCCTTTTTGCATATTTTAGAAATGTTAGATTTGTAGATTCCAACCTATTACATTTAATGAAAAATCTAACTCTAATTCTTCAGTAGGTATATAGTCATTTGTACTCTTAGGATAATTGCAGTTTTATGAGATATACCAGTGTCTCCCCCTTGCTGTGCCCTCTAACTATTTAAAATGCTTCAGATATAATATGTAATTATAACTTACTCAAATGTTGGTGTATCATCCAAGTAAGTTTCATCCTCAACATACTGGTAGATTGCTGTCAATATTACTGCTGTATTTAAGCATACGGTCTTAAAATCTTCGTCTTCGCCTATACATTGTAAGTTCTTGTCATCTGCCTTTAGCCGCACCCTGTAAACTTCACGACAACACAAACTCTCACGGCCGGTAGGCATAAGTGTGCACTTCCCGCATTGGCACCTAAAAATGTTTACAAACGGGAGATAAACTGAAATTTATGTCATCGTTCTACTGTTACTGGCCTCCGGTCAATAAGGCATATCAAAGTTAGTCTCTATCTAGAGATCTCTATTAATAGGCCTAGCTAATGAATGACCATACTGTTTTAGTCAATAGTCAAAACATGACAAAAAAGGCAAAAATCCGAACGCCCGCATTCAAAAACATAACAAAGTGCAAAGGTATAGGTGAAATCAACATACCACTCAGTATTTCCGATTCTTTCTAGATTTACATCAGGCATCTCTTCTTCCTCTTCGCTATCGCTAGTTGATCCCTGCCCAGTTGAGAAACTATCCTCTCGCTCTAATCCGTCAGCACCAGGTTCGAACATAAATGGTTCAATCTGAAGTCTTCTGATCGTTAAACGTTCGTCTTCAAAGATTTCATCTTCATGACCTTGCGCCATTTCCACAAAAACAATTTTCTTTAAACGGTTCTCACGTTTTGTAGCGATACTATTGCTCAACACCACTGATCACCTTTGACGTCACAAAGCGTGAACGCTCTACCGCGGGACAAAGCGCAATCAATCCCGTCCTTTTTCGGGATTCGACCCGCATTTTGTCTTTCGGTTCTAATTTCTCAGAAACAAGCCCGAATTTTGAAAAATAAAGATTGCTAATGAATTCAGCACCTCAAAAAACCCCTTGTAATGGTATCTTAATATTATCCCGGACTTCTCCTTTAATCAAAACTCATTGGACCATCAACTGTAATTTGCAAGAGTTTTTTTGCTTCTGTTCAAACTTGCTTCCATATATGCAAAGAGTGATAAATTCACAGTTTAATTGTACATAACATCTTCAAAACCTCTTGTTAAAACATTGCGTAGACTGCATGAACAATCCATATGGCAATTTGTGTGCATAACGCTTCAGAAAAGTAATTATGACAACGTGGAAATCAGAGGGAGTTGAACCTTTTTTACAAATATTCTAATTTGGAAAAAAGTGGAAAACTTAAGCACTTGAGATCAAATAACATCACCTTTATTATTTTGTGGTGAAAGTCCATCTTTCAGTGTCTTCCGAGTCTGCCTCCTCTTCTGTAGATGAATAGTCATATGTTGGATCATTGCTACCAATGAATCCTCAGGAATCCACAGATCTTCCTTTGATGTAAGATTTGAATCCATAAGTTGCAAAAAGACACAATCTGAAATTTCGATATTTCTTGTCAACTGAAGCTATCTGTTATCCGAAAATGAGCATCATTTTAAAGCTACTACTTTTTATCAAATTCATAAATAAAAGAAGTACATAATGCTAGATTTCATTATTTACATTCAGATTAGACTCTTTGGCTTCTCCTTCAACATCAGTACTTTCAACTTCGGGAAATCTCCATGCAAACCTGAATCATCTTTTACCTCCATCTAAAATCAGAACAGATCAACCTATATTTTCTATACGTAGAAAAGAGAGGATCGTGTGAAAGATAATTAATTCACGAGTTGCTTATAGATTCGTTTCCAAGCAAAGCAGCTCATGCAAACTCTGCATATTGTGTAAAGAGAATAATATCAGTTCAAAACAGCAAGACAACCATTCAATTTCTTTACAAATGGAGTTGTTACGTGGACTTATTTTATGTCTAGTGCAATAAAGTGGTAAGATAAATCAATATATTAACAGCAAAGACATATAGCTTAGTTCAGTAACAAGGACACAGGTCTGGCAGTTACTCACATCTTCTAGAGGCTCTCCGATAGTTTCAAATTCAATTATTTTGAATCCAGTTTCTTCAACCTGTAATGATAAAACAATACTCTGAAAATTAGTAATGATATGAGATATCTTGTAATTTAATTAAATTCCCTCATCACTTGTTCTCCTTTCTAAAATAAATGAATTACAAGAGCTATTATTGCTAGCAAACGCAAAACCCTCACAATGCGTTTTGATAAAATTCACTTTCCACGAAAATTCATGTCATTCTAAAGCCTCATACAATCATATTCTACCCTCAATCTCAATTCCTTGTCAGAGATGCAGATGATAGTATAAAAAACTCGATATTTATAACTCTATTTTTGCCAAATAGCTAAAATTATCATTTAATGAGCGCCGGTGATAACTATTTCCTTTAGACTGCCAACAACGGCACAAATAGCAAAGTTTTCCTGTGAATGAAATATTTGCTCTTTATTTAATAGATCAATATAACATACATATAACCCCAGTGAGTAAGAACCCCCCTAAAAATGATATATAAAGATGACAATTAATACAAACAAATACGTGACATTATGCTTTATGCAAATAAACCGTTGAAATATCTTGTTCCAGGTTAAGTGTGTGTGTAATTTATATTCAAAAGAATAGATAAAAAGATCTCCTTAAAGTGTGTATTTACTATATGTAACAATAAATAGATAAAAACGTGATATTTCAAAAGATAGTGAGAAAGGCTGATGTCCCTGCAATGTGTGTATTTATTGTCTTTTTAAATAAATAGATATGAAAGACAAATGTTCCCATAAAGTGGGTATCTACTCAATATTAAAATAAATAGATAGAAAGGCTAATGTCCTGTGAAAATAAACACAGCATTTAGTGAGAGGCCATAGGTAATTCTTGTAGATAAAATTGGAAATTGGCATTTTCATCCTAGATTTAGTTTCACCCTTTTTACTCAAAGCCCTTTAGCACACTACTGTCAATTACCTGCAGAGTTTCCAAAGGAAGAAGAGTATATTGGTCGATGTTCTTTTCATCAACACTATCATTAACCTAAGAATGTCACTCTCAGTAAAAGTAATTTTTTTAAAGGATTGCTAAAAACTAACTTACAGTGCTTGAAATTAATGGCATTCATTTGAGGCTAGAATTGAGCCCCCCAATATTTGTCAAACTGTAGTATGTTTTCTTTAATAACAGTGTACTGAACGAGAAGAAAAACAATGGTCAGCCCCCCTCACACCCTCCCCCCCCTCCCAATATGAATTTCAATCCGACGGCACTGCAATGGTACTTATGCGATGATAAAACGTGCAAAATGGACACACGTTGCAGAAACACTGCCCTGTATCGGCTATTTTAACCTGACATAAGACATTATTATTACAGTTGGGTGGGTGAACTGCGAATCCCCTTTACTCCTTCAAGTGTCGCCTTTTTTGGTTGCAGGTTAGTAAAGATCACATCAATTATTACAGGTCCTAAAAACACAAGAATACTAAATGCCGATGTTGTTTGCCTTTAAACCTTGTAATATTTTATGTCTGTCATGCTGTCTAAGATGCATTACTTTCAACAATAGATATTGCCCCCTCGCATTTGAGAATCAATGTAAATTACAACCTTCGTTTACATAGATTTTTTTCCATTTTTTAAAATTTCTGTTAGTTTTAAATTTGGTATCGTTATGTGCCTTGAAAGTTCGGAAAGTTCGAAAAATTGATGTTCTCTTCCAGAAAACCTTTACCGTAACCTTATGATCTGTCAATATCTTGTGTCGTCTGGTAAATAACTTTGTTTTTTGTTTGGAGGGTCCACAGACTCTGTGATCTTGTCCAAAACGTCTCTAAATTTAGCTCTTCGGGCTTAAAACCTACCAGAGCATTTGTGCTTACCCCCACCAAAACACCCAATCTTTTACACTTTGTCCAATCAAGTCCAGCCAATTTTGATGAAGATATCTCTCTGTCTAGAATACCTTGCCCCTTTTTAAAAGAAAGGCATCCAAGTTGAGAAAGGGAATGACAAAACGGATATTTTGAATTTTATATTCCCTCGTAAAAATTTTTTGTAGAAAATTAAGGGCAAGGGTGGATGGGCCTGGGATACGATCGTATTCAGAATATTGATTGGGAACTGTTTAAATTTAGAATGAATTTCCAACAGAGATACTACAATTTTGCTACAGAAGATTTAAAATAATTAAAAAAATTGAAACTAATTGTAAAAATATAATTTCAAAAAAAGGTTCCAATTTTGTACTGCAGTTCTTTCAATCTGTAAAAGAAGTAAATTTTTATCAAATTTTCTGCGCATGAAGCAAGATACAATACAAAATGAGGCAATTCATGCTTTGGTGGAAGATGCAGAAGAGAAAGGGGAGTACCACACAAAAGCTTCAATTGTAGCAGGCAAGAAAAAAATCTTTTTGTAGAAAAGCTCTTGCTCTCCTTTGGCAATACTTAAATCGCTGATATCAAGCAAAACAGATCAAATATCAATTTCCAGATTCTCACTTATCATTGACCTCATTTGATATATATTGCCAATATTCTGTACAGACAGCAGGAACAACAGGAAATATTGATAAATGAAAAAGGTAATAAACTAAAAGAATATTAGTTTTAAAAAAGAGCCAATTAAGGAAATTACCAATCTTTGGTGCCCTAAACTATTTAAATTCGAAAAAGTTGGATCAATATTTTTCATTTTGACACTATTGACTGTATTTTTGACATATAAATGAACGTTTCAAACCTCAATTATTTCAAAATTGACCTCAATTTCTTCAGAGAGGGCAGCAAACATGACCTGACTGTCATTATTGATGACAGTGCCATCCTCAAGAGTCATGTCTACCACGGCTCCCTGAAGTCTAAGCGCACTTTTTCCTAGAGAAAAATGAAAATGTCGAGTTTATGCCTAAACTTCTGCTGCTTAACATGAGAGGCATATCACTTTTCTTAAAAAATTTACGAGATTTAATAAAGCAATAGAATTATTGGGGATTGTGGGAATTGGTTCACGGGTTTTTCTTGATAACCAACAAAGGATTTCTCCCAAAGGTTTACAAAATTTCTACGGAGTGATAACCCTTGGCTTACCATGCATTCTGCAAAAAGGGCCTGTAACCTATTCCAACAAACTAAAATACAAATTGAATAAACTAACAGTGCACTGGAACGCGTATGTCAAAATTTGGATGCATTTTCTATCTTATTGACTGACAGTGAAAAAACATAGGTAAAATGGAAAAAATGCCTCTGTTAACTGCCAACTGGAACCAAGGCTCTGAGGTTATTATATTTTCCTTGCTTATCCTTCTGAATTAAATTCTAGTCAGATGGGGATGAGTGTCAATACACTCATTTTATAAGAAACTGTGCTCAATTTTGCAAAAGTTAAGAAATAACCCAACCCAAATTGAAAAAAGCTAAGAAACTTTTATGATTAGCATTTTTTCAAGTTGACACTCGAAACTGTCTTGAAATTGAACATCACTGTATATTGCAATTCTACACTTGACATGTAGTTTGCATTCATTCTCAGCAAATTGCAAACTTTAGAAGTTTCCATTAAAAAATTTGTTTTGACTTCAACTTGAACAGCGATGAAGTTCAATGAGCTAAACTGTTTACAGATCTCAACAGAGTTAGTGATGCTAGGAAAACAAAATTCTTGATCATTTTTCTTAGTTTATCTTTGAATGTGAGTGAACTATTACTTTGGAAGCACATTTACTTTTACTTTGGAAAGCACGCTTAAAAAATTCATTGCCAATGAAATTTAAAATCAAGTAATGAACTTTTAAAAAGCAAAATAGCCAGAAAATTTAAGAAAACTGCGCTAAGAGCACAGTACCTTTGTTTCTTATAAAAAATACGTCCACCTTTGTATGAAAGGTTTTTCTTAAATTTTCCTGTTTTCAACTTGAATCAGATTAATAAAACATATCAATCCATTAATGTTATGTACCAGATCAAAAATCAATAATCCAAGTTCATATAGCGGGTAAAAGAATACTTCATATAGTCAGCAGCTCTCACCTTTCTCCCTTAGCTCCTCTACACTGTCTGCCCTCACCAGGGCATTGACCCTCCTACTTCCTCCCTTGTTTGAGAAGCATAACCAAATCCAAGTCATCTGAGAAAAAAGAGGCTCATCATTCACAAGCAACGAAATTATAGAAAAGAAGGTATAGCGAACATGAAATTTACCCAGAATAGTAATATTTTACAATGAAGAGCGATTCAGCAGTTTTTTTGTGGCAGTAGACGTCTTACCTCTATCACGTTGGTTCGAACTAAAGCAAGTTTCAATTTGACTACCTGTTAAAAAATGAAGTGTAATATATACCTGTTGTTTTCTGAGCGCCAAAAGCTAAGACTCAAGCAAAGAAAACGTGAATGAAGTCTCGCCAATAATAAGCTCAACATGACATAAAGAAAATTATTACATCCTGTTCGTCTTTGTCACACCTCATCAGAATGACCTGATGGCTGTCTCAATTCAATGTAAATTTTGTAGAATTCGCACTGAATATGCTTCCACTTATAGTATAGTCACAACTTTGCTATAAACTTGGCATGTTGCGCT